CACTCTTGCCATCATACCTTCATGGAACTGACGAACTACACTGGCACCATCAGTTTACCATCTTTTTTGTTCGCTGCAACACGATCTTAATGGGAAAACGTACGCAAATATGGAAGGTGTTAAAGAGGACATTGAAATGTTTTTTGCTTCAAAGCCAAGTGATTTCTTTAATCAGGGCATTAAAAACTTGATTGTAAGATGGAAAAGCATCATCCATAAGAATGGAGACTATCTCATATAATAAATGTTTTATTTTGATATATAAGTTGTTAGAGTTCTTCAACCTAAAAAAAGTGACATTAATTTCTTGACGACCTAATACATACATCATTACAAACAAAAATAAGCATTTTTCAAAGAAACTTTCAATAAAAATACTTTCAGAACAAGCAATGGTAAATATTTAGAAATTTATAAAGAAATGAAAAGCTCAAAATATCTCTATCGAGCAGAAAAAAATCTAACAACATAAAAAATGTCAAGAAACAAATTTCTGAGATATATAATGAATTAATTTTTCACGTGCCATTTTCACAAGACTCATATGATGAAATTATTGTAGGTTTGAAAGAGTAGATATAAGCCTTACTTTTCATTTCCAGGTCACTTTCTAAGATTTAATGTTTCGATTGTTACTATTATTTTCTAGAAACGAAGAAACCTGCTGATGAACAACAAGAAAAGTGCGTTTAAAGTTTATCAAAGCTTTTACTCGTCCAGGGGCTGAAAGAGCACCATACAAAATCTAAATCAGATTTTCCAAAACAAATGAATATTTAGATAATTTTAGTTTCTTATAGTCAGAGTGCCCTACGTAATCGCAGAAGAGAAAGAATTAAGAAATGATGTTTTAACTTGGATCTGGAAACTGAATTAATTTTTGCGTAGTTATGTTTCGCTTAAAAATCGTCTCACTTTATTTAAATAGTTTTGGCTGCACTTCTTTTAAGCCTATTTTTACGGAAATAGATATATATAAAAATAGTTATCTTCTAGAAAACTCTTTGTCCACTTATGTGGATATTACCAGTGTTTCTATCTTGCGCATAATTATTTTTATCAAATGTTCTTAAAATTTCAAAGGCCGTAGCCGCTTCTTTTGGCATCAGTTGCTTATTGCCTATCGAGAAAATTGCAATAATAAAAAAAATTAAATAAAGGCTGGAATAAAATGTAATTGTCATCAAGTTATGGAAATGTTAATTGTATTTTCAACAAGGACTTTCTAGAAGATGAGAAATAAGAAATGTTTACACTGGTGACAGTAACAGCTCTAAACTTATCTTCGAAAGTTTGCGAACATTAGCTACAAGTCCACTGCTTAGGATATTTATGATTTTCGTACATTAAACATTTAATGCTTACCTAATAGTTTATGAAATACAGTTTAGTAATGTTATGACAGATAGTCTACTGTACAATAGCAATCACTTTCATCATCACTTAGCGCTTTTAAAACAATACACATTCCTCAAGTATTTGAGCTCATTATTTGCGTAAACAACGATACAAATCAGTTCAAAATACTTCACTTGTTGGCCCGGCATGGCCAGGTGGATAAGGCGCTCGACTCGCAATCTGCGGGTCGCGGGTTCGCATCC